TGTGATTCCATTTAAAAAAATAAATAAAGATTCTCATTACTGAACTCTGTTCTCAGTGAGGGCAAGTGGGTCATCATTGCCAAAAAATAAATAAATAACAGCAGCTTCTACCTCAAGGCCTGTCCTAAGGAAGAGGGCGTGACCCTTGTCCTTGGAAAAACCCACAGAGCACTCCTAAGCACATACCCACCCTGCTGAGTTGTTTGTCTGTAAAAAACAGGAGAGGTCTGAGGCGCCAGGTGTCCCTGACTCAGTTAGGCTAGGTGAGGACCCATAGCAACCCCCCTAGCAACCTCCAATCAGCATGAGACAGGGAAAATACCTGGAATGCCAGATGACCCCCCCAGTAGTTTTTGGTGGTTGATAACATGTTGGGAAACCATATAGTTTAGCACATACACCCCTCGTGGCCTAAACCAATCAGTTCAAAGGAATCCCTCTCTTGTATTAACCAATCACCCCTACCCAAATTGTTCCCGCCAGCGAATGTGCTAATCAATGTTAAGAGTTGTTGTTTGATTTTCCTGCAGTATGGAATGATTTGCTGTGTGATGTTGTGATGCATAGAGTATCCCCARAAATCTATAAAATCTCACTGAACAAAGGACTGGAACTCACTCCCTGGGACCGCTGCGTCGGGAACGGTTGTAAGTCCAGGCTCAAGCTTGCAATAAAGACTCTGGTGTGCTTGCATCGGATTCGGCTCCCGGAGGTCTATTGGGGTCCCACGAATCTGGCATAACAGAATCAAATAGTTGTTATGCTGGGTTCAAAAGAGAATTACTGAAATCAACAGGCAAATGGAGACAAACTAGTTTTTCTCTTCCCTGGACAGAAATGTCCATCAATTGTACATTGTCCCAGCTTCTACAAAGAGCATCATTGGTTCCTTGTTGACTCCCACATCCACAATAAACTTCACTTCCAGCCTTTCAAGATCCTGTTTAACCCAGCATCATCCTGTTTATATCCACCTTTTATTCTAGGCAGTTCTAACATCTCCACCCCAAGCCAAGCCTAAACCTTCCCACATGCTCTTCCCAATCTTGTGGCCCTCAATCATCTATGTCCTTCTCATTCTGCTGGCTCATTTGGAGCTGTGTGTGTGCATGTTTATTATCTGAAAGCCACAAGCGACACCAATTCTTTAATTACCAACGCTACCTTCACTAGACCTTGATCATGCATTCTTTCAAACATCTTCTGAGCACCTCTCACAGCAACTAGGCACAATCTAGACCCTAAATCTAGGAACTGAATATTCCAAGATGAAAGCCAAGGCCCCAAGATGCCTGGGGGGAGGGTGGGGCAAAGAGAATAAGGTGACTACACTTTGAGGTAGGCTCCTTTGGGAGCACAGGGTGGCACATAACCTAGTTGTGGAAGGTCAGGAAAGTTTCCTGGAAGATATGGCCCTGGTCAAGCAATGAAGTAGACACAGAAAGAACTCCTTCCCATCCCCATGACAAATACCTGAGATAACCATAGGAGGAAAGACTTATTTTGGCTCATAGTTTCAGAGGTTTCAGGCCATGGTCACTTGGCTCTGTCATTTTAGGCCATACCATGGCAGCAGCAATTAGTAGAAGAGATCTATTCACCTCGTGGCAATCAGGACACAACCWGGGGCCCAATATCCCCCTCAAAACCACACACCCAGTGACCAACTTCTTCCCACCAGACCCCACCTCCTAAAGGGTCCACCAACTCCCAATAGCCCCGAAGGCTGGAGGCCAGGCATTTGACACACAGGTCTTGACACACAGGCCTGGGGGGACACTCCAGGTTCAAGCCATTTCATATACCCTCATATAATTGTATAAGTCTTTTTTAAAATTTTTTTTAAAGAGAGAGAGAATTTTTTATTTTTTAAATTTTTTTTTTATTTTTTGAGAGAGACAGAATTTTAATATTTATTTTTTAGTTTTCGGCGGATACAACAACTTTGTTTGTATGTGGTGCTGAGGATCGAACCCGGGCAGCACGCATGACAGGCGAGCGCGCTACCGCTTAAGCCACATCCCCAGCCCGAGAGAGAATTTTTTAATATTTATTTTTTAGTTTTCGGTGGACACAACATCTTTATTTTATTTTTATGTGGTACTGAGGATCGAACCCAGCGCCCTGAGCATGCCAGGCRAGCRCGCTACCGCTTAAGCCACATCCCCAGCCCAACTGTATAAGTCTTATTAAAATTTCTTTCTTAAAACTATCTTATGTTTACTAGATAATTAAGGATAGCAGAATATGACAACCCAAAATACATCACTTTGACATAAAGATTATTTTGAGCCAAAGGCTGTTGAAAAACAACAAATGCAAAAGGGCTCTCTGGCCTCACCTTTTCTTTCTGAAAGTGAGTTAAAACTCACTTGTGAATGATGCTCCCCCCATGCCAGGAAGAAGAGAGCACTATGGTCAGAGACAAGAAGTCGAGCAAAGAGAAATCTGCATCATCTATCCTTGTGGAATTAATCCTACGTTCCTTTGGCTTCCATGTATATTTAATTGTTTTTCACAATGATTACTTTGTGCAACCTACAATATAAGTACTGAATTACTTTTCAGGTCCTCATTTCCCTGTGAGGTCCCAGGTATATGCAAATTTTTAAATAAAATTTATGCTTTTCTCTTGTTTGTCTTATGCCAATTTAATTATAAGGCCCARTTTAAGACCCTAAAAAAGTCAGTTTTCTTACTCTTACTTTATAATGAAGTCCTTGAGGATAGGGACACTGTTATAGATACCATTTTACCCCTCGTTTTTTTTTTTAACAGAAAAACACAGTAAAAGCACCTTGAAAACTTGGGATTTGCTGGATGATCCCACTTTAACTACATAGACGCTGGAAGTTCTAGCCAACAACCAGTGCCATCCTGCCCAGTCTTCCAGATAGGGCGATCAAATCTCTGCTCTGCCTATGTCCAACCCTCAGGCAGTGGAACAGATGTATTTCCTTGTCGCAACAGAGACTTTGGCAGCCTCTGCTCGCTTTGCTGATGTGTCCCTTCCCTCCACCTGCTCCCAGAGTTGAAATCAAAGATTCAGCTAAAATTATGATAAGACATTAGTTTAATATTAAAGCTATCTTTTGTATCCCTCTTTGTGCTTTCCTGGGTTCCCAGAGTTGTATGCAGTCGTGTATTTTTTTTTTTTTTGTAAGTGAAATTTTTCAAACGCTTTCAAAAACTAAAGCTATATTAAAACATTAGGTCCTATTTTCAAAAACAGAATTTGGGCCAACTGCCTTAACAGTGCTGCATCCTTGAACCACATGAAAGTTCACAAGCAAGGACAGCAATAAAAATAACTCAGAGCCAGTGTCTTCCCCATCCAGTTGAGTGTACTGCAACCGTGACAACAAGCGCTGGTGCCCTGTCGCACTCCGCGGGTTCCCTAATAGCTTTGCAGCGCTCGCTCCGCCTCCAGGCCGCCTCTCGAGGGACGTCACATGCAGCTCCGCCCCTCTACAGAGGCCTGTCGGGACCCTAAAGCCGGGTCTAGGACCCTCCTGTCTTGGTCCCAGGGACCACAACAATAGTTCAGTGCTCTTTCCAATACTAAGCCGGTCCCCAAAGCCGCGCGTTCCCCCAGCACCGCTCACTGTTCCAGCGCGCTCCCGCCCGGTCCAGGGCGCACCCACTCACCCCGCCCCCCGGCGCGCGCCGGCTCGGCCCAGCCGCAGCCCGGAGGCGCGCACCAGGCCGCGCGCCGAGAGCCCCGCCCCCTTGCACCTGTCCGGCTCCCACGCGCGCGCCCGGCGACCCCGGTGGACCCGCCCCCAGGCGCGCGCCGTCCCTCCCTGCGCCACGTGCTCGCTGGAGGGCGGCGCAAGGGGCAGCGCTGAAAAGATGTTCTTGCTGCCTCTTCCGGCAGTCGGGCGAGTTGCTCTCCGGCGTCTGGGAGTGAGTTGTCTCCGGGGCCGGAGTCTTGCCACCGCCGACATGACGAAGGTGAGAGGCGGCAGTTGCTCCGTGGCCACCGCGGGAGGACTGCCTGCGGGCGACCTGGGTGCGGGGCAGGGCGGGCCCAGGCCGCGGCGTGTGCGGCTTCTGCGCCAAGTTACACAAATCGACTAAAATGAAAAGTTCCCTCCTTTTGCAGGATCGGCCTTGGCAGGGGCTGGGGTGGGGTCGCCGGTGCCCCCTTCCCCGGAGATTTCCCAGTCTGCTGTCTTCTGATGGCGCGATCTTCCTTCTTGTCCGGGGAGTGCCTGGTTCTGAACCCTGGGCAAAAGAATAGCTGCGGCTACCATTTACCGATCGCACTTTACTGAGCCTTCTCCCTCTCACTGAGCTTCAAAAATGACATGCGCTTATTTCATTCATCATCTTTTTAGTTCTGGACGTGACTAAGAAGGGATGGWGACATTATTGTCCCAAATGTCAGCAGAGGTCCCAGAGTCAGCCAGCCTCAGGGCCTGGGCTGCACACCAAGACCTCCTTGCTGCAGTCAAGGGTCAGAAAACAGGGCCTCTGGGAGCAATTTCCCTGAACGTGTTTCTAGAGGAAACGAGATCCTCTCTAGGGAAAAGGGCGCTGCCGAGAGACGCGTTATTTCGTGAAATTAAAAGAAAAGCATTTTCCAGAAGAAAAGGCTGCTCCACCTAATTGGGCCCTGAGAAATTAGAGTGATCCTTCATATTAGGCAATTCAGGTCTGAAACATCTGGAAAGAGGAGTGGCTCGGTGGAAGGGGCACAAGCTTGGGAGTTATGCCGGAGRATCAGAAAGAAATGACTCTCCCTGGTGAAGAATTCTCTAGATGGGGCTTGAGACAGGTCTCCTGGAGGTATCAACAGATGACAGAGGGACCACACATTTCTTCAGTGCTCTTTCCAATACTGAGCCTGTAACAGTGACCTAACTCCTAGGTTCTCCATTTGGTCTATGGGAGTGTGCAGACTTAGGAAGGTGAGAACCTGGCAGAGTTATCAGTGCCAAGGAAAGTGTATTTTCTTTGGTGAGAAAGACAGACAGGGTGGTATTTAATCTAAGTGCCTATGTGGCTTTGTGAGAAGGACCAAGGACAGGAAGAAGTTATCTGGATTTTCACACAGTTCTACCATCCAGGGGCTAGTGTGT